GAGGTATATTGTTGTGTCGGAAACCTACCACCCCTCTTGAAGATGAACTTGTCTGCGTCTGTGAACAAAGACTTTAAATAGTGGCATGTCAGTTGACATGGGGGAAGATAGATAGACAGAGAAGTTCTTAGCTGAGCTAATTATTGACTACTCAGGCGATTTCTGTACCTTTTTACCAACCTATTAAAACCCTTTTTATTGTTACGTGTTATTTGGCGTTTGTCTCTACTAACCCCAAATCAACATCATAACACATATATACCTATTTAGCTATATCTTTGTTTGTGTGTATCCATGAATATTAAGTGGCAAAATTTCATGGTGAAATCTGTCAGTGATTTGTTACCCTAATACACTGCACCAAGATATATCAACATTTTTAAATTGCACAAATGAATCAAATTACTTTTATCTTGTGCTCTAAATTATTTCTAGTCACTACAGACCCCTAAAAAAAAAATTTGATATCAGACAAGGAAAATTTAAGACATTATACAATCAATTGATAGAAACTGAAGAACAAAAGCATAATTCTAAGTCATGATTGTATAATACAATGATGTTTAAGGAAGGGTAGGAGTCATGTCTACATGTCAATATATTTTGAAATATTAGTTTCTTTGCAGAAGAATCTCATTTATTTTAATTGCATTCACATTAGAATATCAGTTGCTGAAAGAATTCTCTTGTTTATCTCTGCATATAAAATCTTTTCATTAAAAAATTTCAATGACTCATTTTTAAAATTTAATTCCCTTTGAAATCAGATTTATTTATCTGCACACATATCAATCTCATACATTGCAACTGTAATAGCATTTTAAATGTTAATGCATTCAAATCAAATTTCTTTATATATACATCCACCTACTTATTGTAATTATATTTAAATATTAAACCTGATCTTATAAGAACACAAACATTTTAAATTCTAGTTATAATAAAAAGAAAAACTGAACAGTTGAAAAAGAGTGATATTTTAAAAACTCTAAGAGACAAAGCTGTAATGTAAAGAACACTTGAATCTGGATTCAAGCATTATGAACAACTCAAATAAAATTTGTGCAGTGTTGAGTCATTATTCAACAGCTATTCATAGAACCTAAGGATCAGGAATAATGACCTTGAAGCAATCTTTTTCAGATGCCTTATCTCTTGGGATCTACTTTGGAAGACATTATTATTATTATTATTATTAAATAAGTCAAAGTTCTAATTGTAAAGATTAAAATAAATTAAATTTTTGATTTTTTATCTTTTGTAAATGATAAAAGGTTAGTACAAGGGTTAAATGACTGCTGGAAGCTATGAATCTTATAGTTACATTCCTAATGCTGTGTAGTTGAGATTGATCACCTAAAAAAAATGAATAAAAATTTGATTATCCACAAAGCCAAAACTCACTCCCTATTTCCAGTAACCTATCATCTACTTAATTACCTGAATATGTAGCAAGCCAAAGAAAAATAATACAAATTTTAAACATTCAAATATAGCCTGATACCAATAAGTCAAAAAAGAAGAAAAAAGCAGTCTCACCATTGTTGGGATTAATAATAATAAAAAAAAAAGAAAGCAAATCTAAATGACCATTCCAAACAGAGAGAAATTTTGTAAGTTGAAATGACAGGCACTTTTTTTTTTAAATCAATACATAAAGAAAATTTTTGATTTTAATTATATCTGATGAGAGTAATTTTCAAATTTTATTTATTTGAATAATATTCGAAATAAACTTAATAAAACTATGCACAAAAGTTATTAGACTAAAATAAAATTATACAATGTTTCTTTTCAGATTTTAAATAATCTAATTCATGAATTTTAACCAAAAAATTAAGAAAATTGCTGACTTCTTGTTTTCGCAACATTTACAGTAAGAATATCTCAAGTGTTATGTAATTGGAACCTCATATCCAATTTAAAAGCAAATAACTTCTAGTAAATATACTACGAAAATAAGAAAAATATAATTCAAATTACAAACTTAAAACAGAGCCATACAAAAAATCATGAACACTTTGAAATTAGTTTGAAATCATAAACTATATCAAAAAAAAAAAACTACAATAACAAAATATCATTATCTAATTAAAAGTAATGATAAATGCTTTTTCATCAAATTTCATGTGAAAGTTTACAATATATTTATTCAAACATATAATTTATAACAATGAATATTAACTATTATGAAAAAAGTGACTGAAATATAAAGATGTCAGTACATTAAAAGCATTACATTTTCTTTGAAGTAAATTCTGAGATTTATAAAAGTTAGATGTCAGTAGAGATGTGTTATGTTAAAAGTCACAAGGTGTATGAAAAATAAATTTAGGCAGTTAAAAAAAAAGAAAGATTAATGCCTCATTAAATTAAAATCAAATATAAAAAAAACGTTATTTTTCTTTAATTTACGGTGATTATGAGATAAAAATATAATATAAAGCATTAATAGATAACTTGAACCATGTATGCAAAAGCCTAATTTCATCGCATTTCCTATAAGTTAAAATTTTAAAGTTTTTTTTGTACATTTACAAGCTTTGGTTTAACAGTCATTTCTTTGCAAAATATTTTTCTTTCCACAAAAAAAAAAAAAGAAAAAAGTTTACCCTTATCTATACAAATTTATCTTTAAATACCTCTTTTATGAAAAGAGAGAGTAATTTAAAATCTCTTTTTAAATGAGAAATCATAACTATTTTCAGTTTCATCAACATTATTACATTTAACATGTCATCATACAACTGCATCCTTTCTTGCTGCTTTTATCAACACTGACTTTTCAGATTTTATAACAAATTTATGCATTTATTCTTTTTATTTTCATGAATAGTTTTTATGTAGCATGACTTGGAAAAATTAGAAAATACTGATTGGTGGTTTAAGAAATAATGAAAATAAATAAACTGATAAAAAGAAATTGATATCACAGCTTTTTTATTTTATCAAATCTTAATATTCAAAGAGAATAAACGTCAAATTTCTTTTTGTAGCAATTAAAAATGTGATTAGGAAATAAATTTAATTGTGTTTAAATAGCTGAATCAATTAGATATTTTACATTTTTATATGAAATTTATTGGATAAAAGGCTAGTTAAGTTTCTAGCCAGAACAGTCTTTATATAAGGGGATGCTGAAAAGTTCTTGACTTGACTTACTCCTAGAATATGATCAAACATCAGAATTTATTTTGTAATCTCTTCTTGAGCAGGCTTTTCACCACTCACATCTGAAATTTTCTTCTGTCTTGTCAGAAGATAATGATTAATTTTCAGGTAGTATAAATTTGTAAAAATTAATTGGCCATAGTAAAAATTTGTTAAGAAATAAATTGTCATCATTATGATCAAAGTAAAAAGGACAAAGTCAAGAGAACAGTTGCTTTCAAAATTAGTTAATCTGTTTTCAAATATCATTATAGTTTAGTAATTTTTATGCTCCTTCAGGACATAGGTGATCATGGCTCTCCACAGATTCTATTTCTATATTATCTGTGAATTGCTATGACTTCTTGAGAAAGATAGTGGAATGGTTTCCCATTGTCTTCTCTATGGTTTGTAATTAAGTTTTCCTTCTCTTAGATCCAATACTAGAGTGCCTAGACTAAGTAAGGCATAACTTTGGGGGAGGGAGGGGAAGAATTGGATTCATGCCTTTCCAAAGTGCATAAGTGTGAAAGTGAACACAAGATTATCCTGAAATTTGAATTTGGCTTGCTTATTTCATTTTTCATGCTATGAAAAGACATACTTCAAGAGAAAGATAATATAACAAAGTAAAAACTTCAGTGTCAGTAAAATTGGTTGTTTTAAAGCAGTTTTTTTGAGTTTTATAAAGTGATGATGCAAGATTTGGTCAAACCGTATTATGAATAGCATAGATAATATTTATTTTTTCTTTAAAGTCATAATGAAATAGCTTTAGTAATTGTTTCCCAAAATGCATAGTTATCTATATATAAAATTATGTGACCTCTGTTATTCCATCCATCTGTGACACTCTCTAAAATAGCCATACATTGACCGATTGAAATCAAATTTGGGTGAGAAGTGTAAACCGATAAAGGGATACAAAGTACAGTTGGTTTTATTAGAGTGTATGTACAATAAATTTTCATTAATTTTTTTAAAAAAAATTAGTTTTATTATTTAACATACAAAATATTCCCACTATTTTAAAAACAATTTAATGATTAAAATAAATACTTATTTAATAAAAATGCAAATTCCAAGTTTGCATTTGCAAGAACTATAAACAAATCACAAGGCCAAAAGCTTCAAAAAGTTGCAATATGACTCCAGAAAGAAATATGCACAGCCAGTTGCATGCTCAAAAGTAAGAAATCCTAAGAATTTATTCTTCGCTGTTAAAAAGGAACAAAGAACTTATCTTTAAAAATATTGTTTACCATGAAGCCCTATAAAATTAAATTAGAGAAATTACCAAACCACAAAGTAGGGTTTTTGTTGAAGTATTTTTCTCAACAAATCAGCTTATTTAAATTTTATCAATTAGTTTGCGAAATTGAACAAAACAAAGTTTGTAAATCTTGATAAAAATGTTAGTGATAAACTCAACAATACTGTGAAGATTTCAACACATGTTAGTGTGTTGCAAAAAAATTCTAGTATATGATATATAAAAAAAGGGAAAGAAATGGTGGAGAGACAATCATTGTCAATATTCTTAAACAGATATAAATATTAATGAAATAATATGGAATAATTAAATATAGTACAATATTTAGCAATGATAATTTTATTTGGAAAATAAAAGCAGCATGCTGAAGTTAGTAAGTAAATAAATCTTAATATTTTTCATATTCTGGTGAAGAATTGCTGTTAAACATTTTTTCTGCCAAAACAAATAACAATATTTCCAACTGATAATATTCAAGTAAATAAAGACAACATTTAGCAAGGCTTACAATTGCCTGTAATGATAATGTTAATTCTTTTATTTGTAGAATAAAAATGAAATAAAGAATGCTGCTTACTTGGTTGTTAAGCTGGACCATCGTTTAATAACTTTTGCCAATAAGTCACGCATATATTGAGTGTCCTCCTCATTGTATTCATCAATTAATTTCCCAGCCAATTGCTTGACATTTTCTGCTGAAGATTTCCTTTGGTCAACCTCATCTTGAAGAATCTGAAACAGAATTAAAACACTGAAACACTGAAGAGAATAAACAGCATCATAGTAAGAATGTTTCAAAGGAAGAATCATCACTTTTCATAAGCTTTTGGATAATTGTTAATTTAATAACTTATCATGAAGAATACTTTAAGAACATAAATCATATTAGTATATTTGATTGCACATAAACTTCCACTTTCACCACAAAATGACTACAAAGATGTTCCCAAGTTTGATATGAAGTTTGTTTGTTTGGTAGTATAATGTTTACCCAGACACTATAGGTTACTAGTATTTGTACTGGATTAAAATCTACAACACTGCAATATTAAATATAAATGGTTTAGGGTAAGGTAGGTGCCATTTAATACAGTATTATAACATTCACCTTAGGTTATTTTTAATTAAAAAAACTGATGTATGAATTGTATCCAAGCAAAATCAAAATGTTATTTATTACAATGACATTACTGACAATGCAATTTATTGAATTCAATTACTTAAAATCTTTATAAATTTTATTTAATCAACAAAAGATGTTTTTGAAAATGTAAATATAAATAAACTTTTTTTTGTTATTTTATTGATCTCTAAGGAACTTAGATAGTCAGTATTATTGTTTTTGTTTGCTTTGTTTAGTATATTTTAATTTATTTTTTACATTTACAATAGTATTTTTTAAATGCAATGTCTTGTCTGTATGCAACGAACCATGGCACTCCACAGGTTCCTTTTCTTTGTTATATGTGAATTGCCATAAATTCTCAGGAAAGATAGCAGTGTGATTTTCTATTATTCACAGTTATGAATTCAGAATTCAGAATTCTCCTTCTAGACAGGCTGTTGTACAAAGCTTAGAAAATTCAGTCATGGGGATGTCTTTCCAAAGTATGAAACTGTATGATAAGTCAGAAATTGAACTTGGTATGCTAAAGTCCTCTTTTTCAGCTGATAATGATTATGCTACCGACACATTAATTGAAATAGTATATATAACATTAAAAAAATTGTGTAGCTATGTTCTTAAAGGAAAAAAACCCAATCCAATGTTGATAAATCAACATTTATAAGCATTTTATTTACGTTATTTAGACTGTTATCCTCATCTTCATTGTCATATTCACAACATTTTGGATGTTGTATGCTCTAACCTTCTTCAGGTGATTGGAATTTTGAACTGAACCTTTTATTTCATCCACTGGGGTAGATAGATAACCAGCATCTTTATCCACTGGGCCATGTTGGTTCGATCCAGTGACTAGACCCAAAGAGTTGTGAGTTCAATACCAGGCTACAGCAGTGGTAAACCAAAAACTTGGAGAGTTGATTTAAAGGGAAATAACTGAAACATTCGGAAGCGGCATGGCACGTGGAACTAGAACAATCTACCCCAGTAGATGAAATAAAGAGTTTGGTTCGAAATTCCAATCACCTGAAGAATGCCAGAGCGTACAACAGCCGAAACATTGTGAATATGGCAATGAAGATGAGGATAACAGTCTAAATAATGTAAATAATCATAACTCATCTCAGAGATATAGACAGATATAAACATTTTTGCATTAATATAAATAATAATCAAATTTGATTATGCTTCTATATTTTCATAATTATATAATTTCTTAAATAAAAATAAAGTTAGTTATTGAATTTTATTTTAAGTCACCAAGCAAAAAGAATATTTATACAATCTGTGAAAAGGCAAATAAAAGGCAATCTGTGAAAGGCAAATAAAGATAGCAGTGATTTAAAGTGAAAAATAAGGGATGGGGTGAAAAGATCACATTTTATCCAACTGACAAGATGTATTTCATGTTTTTTCCTTTTTTGTATCTTCCTAATTTATCAGAATAAGATGTTGTAAATCAGGATAAAAATTATGAATGAACTGTTCAAAGTTTTGTTCAAGTACTTTCAATCATCTCAATCATAATGATAATGACCAAGTTGAAAGTACTTGAACAAAATGGAAAACAAACATAAAAATTGAAGTTTCGACAGTTTATTCAAAATTTGGATTCTAATCTTATTTGAAAATTGGGAAAATACAATAAAAAATTCAATAGACAGACTTTGTCAGTTGAATTTAACAAAACTTGTTTGGATGAATTTTGCTTCCTAACATATATATATATATATATATATATATATATATATATATATATATATATATATTATTTATATATATATATATATATATATATATATATATATATATATATATATATTATATTATATATATATATATATATATATATATATATATATATATTATATATATATATATATATATATATATATATATATATATATACACACATACACACACACGCACACATATACAGAGATAGACACATTTGTGCATGTATCTGTCTAAATGATTTGAGCAGAATATTAATAAATCAATGTTAGCCTGTGTTTGGCTGATTTGTATTTTAGTTGAATGTTTAACAGTTTATATTGTATATTACGTCCTGAATGACGAATTTTCTAGATCATTTTGAATTAATGCAGGTGTTTCCCTATCTATCTTTGAACTTACATTGTTCCTAATTTTCATAAATGACCTTCCTGAGGTCATCAGTTCTCAATTCAGTGTGTATACTGATTATATAACTATTTACTCCTGTCTTAATAGTAGTCTGATCGGTTCAATTAGTTTAAATTAGCAGCTGATCTCAAAAATCTTATTAATTGGGGCAATGAATGACTTATAATCTCTTTTAATCATCTGAGATAACTCTTTTTAACTTTCCATCAGCATGGCTGATGCTAACCTCCAGGAGAGTGATTCATTGCGCCTTCTCGAACTAACATTTTCCAATGACATAAAGTGGAAAGATTATATTGACTCAATTGCTAAGTCTGCTGCTAGGAAAGTTGGTTCGCTGTGTCATGCTAGACAATTTTTCTCATCAGAATCTACCTTACATATTCATAAGTCTACCATTTGTCTTTGCTTTGAATATTGCTGCCACATATGTTCTGGTTCTCCTGCTATATATTTAGAGATTATTGATAAAACCCAATGAAAAATCTGTAATATTATTTGTTCTGACCTGGCATCTTGGCTTCAAATACTTTCTGCATTGCTGTAATATAGCTTCTCTGTGGCCTTTATAGAAATTCTTTTATGGTAATTGTTCTGATAAACTTTCCTCTACAGTCCAAAGACTTCAAGTGAAGTACCAGAATAGTGGCAAGTTCTCTTCATTTTACAGTTGAAATGGCTGCTAGATGTAGCCATAAGTTCTGTGCTAATAGTTTCTTCTCTCATATTTCTTACTTTTGAAACTCTCTTCAGGCTTCTTGCTTCCCAGTCAACTTTACTTAAATGTAACATCAATCCTTATCTTCTGTTTTCGTAATTCCTATTCTTTTATTGTTCTCTCTCCTTAATAGTGATTTTTTCCTCGTATTCTCTAACACACAGTAACTCTTTGTGTCTCAGTGACTTGTCATTGTGGGGGAGGATGATTAATATATATAATATGAATGTGCGGGTGGTATAATGGATATCAGTTTGGAATGAGAAATCAGAGAGTCAAGCTCAAATTCCAGTCAAATTTGTTACATTCATTTAGGGCCAAGTATGAATCCATCTCTTCTCCCTCCCCCAGTTATAAGTTAAATAGTAAGATAGACTGGACTCTTTACTTTTGGTTGACAACCAGTCTAAGAGAAGGACAACTCAAATACAAGAAAATTTATACTAAGTATGAATATGCATCAAACAGTAAAGAACCAATATATAATAATTCTTAGTATAATTAGTAATAGCTATTTTTCTTATGTAAGGGAATGAACTCTCTAAAATATATTTGAATTATTTACCTTAAACTAAAAAAAATAGTGCTGTGGAAATTTTGATCGATGATGATGTCAGATGTTATTTTTAGTTCTCTAGATCAATTTTGAAATTAAAACTGTTGATTTCATTTTTCTTTCAGCTGCAAATGTGAATGTATATTGTCAAATGTTTCGTTTTCATAGTCCTGCTTTTTTTTTTAAAAGAATTCTAAAGGTAACTTTTGGCTTATGGTCAAAATCATGGTAAAAGCATTGGTTCTCATCTGATCACCAAAGTTAAGTATGACCAGTATTTAGATGGGTGACTATTTAAGAACATTAGGCACTGAAACCAGTTTGTAATATAATTCAAAATGAGACTGAATTCCCAACTTTATTCAACTGCAATTTTACATTTTGATAGAATAACCTTTTTTTTGGAGTAGAATACTCAACTAAAAACTAGTGAAAAACAAAACAACTCCATTGCAATTTTTTAATGCATGATAAGGATTTGTAATCTTGAGCAATTACTGGGTTATATTTTCCATTCCTTTATTGAAACTTCAAATTTTTTAGCCAATAAAAGGTTTTGTCTGCTTCCAAGAAACACCAAAATTTTAAACCAAGGGACAATATGGTTAGCAAAAATGGTGAAATGATAAAAGTGGTATGGCCACAAATGGTTAGCTCAAGCCTTCCAAAAGGTACTGGATATACAAGAATGTTGTTGCAGGAAATTTTGACCTAATATGATATTGCAACAGAGATTGTTTAAAATAGCAAGCTTTATTCTTTGGTAGATTTTCCCCCTCAAAAATAGTTCCACAGAACAGATGACATGAATTTAGGATGAAAGAGATGAGGAGGCCATGCCAACAGAGTTAAACATAAGAAAGTCATACATAATCTACACTGTTTTCAGAGTTTACAGTATCAATTAAAGATTTTGCAGGAACTCTATTGAGTGCTGCATTCATAATAGCCCACCCCAAGCAGTCTGGGGAGGCTGTACTAAGAGTTGTGGCCAAGGTCAGGTCAGCTACTGAATGGTTAGACCTGCATACTTTTGCAAACTAACTTCTTTCTTGCATGATGACTGCAACCATAAAAGAAACACTTATCTGAAATGGCTGTGACTACAGAGTAGTTTTAAGCAGTAGCAGGGTCAGTATACAGCTCAATCACTGCAGTATTGATAAATGATGCTTCAGCAGGGATTGGACTTGTTTATAACTCATTTCAAGAAGTATAACCTGGTTAAAGGCTGTATTTAGACATGAAGGATCCAGTTTTTTAGCTTCTCATACATTTCTGAGTAGACTCCATCCTACTTTCATAGGAATTATGTTTGTATTCATTGTGATTTTCATTGGTTGTAATAATTCTAATGTTACAGTTTTTATAATTGTCCGGGTGCATGAAATATTGATCCAGATTTTCTTACACCTCAGAGTAAGTATTTAGGAGTTTAAAACTGTAAACACACCAAAAGTGGTGAAAGACAAAACTCCACCCAAATTCAATATAAAAGTAAACACTAATATCACATAGTCTTGTGCCAAACTAAACAAAGTTTAGTAAATAAACTAAAAGTAATTCACTTAAAATATATGACATAACTAATTGTACTCACCTTATGATCTGACAGTGATTTCGTAAGATCTTGAGAGTTATGGGACTTGGATTTCATTTCTTCTTCAATCTGCTGGAGCCACCGGTTGAAAGCTGAATAGGATTCATCAAATTGCCGACATTCAAGTAACATATCCTCCAATTGGTTCTTGCGGGAGGAGATGTTAGCCTTTGTACTATTCCACTGATGTATAACTTCATCAGCTGAAAGAGAAAATAACAAACTAATCAGTTTTGATAACCTATGATTACATTAATATTAGTTAAGTTGATTTTTTTTTTTTAATTTATTTTTTCTTTTTTTTTACAGTGAGGCTCACTCTGTACAAGGCCTGGGGGTCACTGGAGGTAGAGGGTTACAGAGTAAGAGGCACAATTTATGTGGATAGGTGGGGAAGATAATGATTAACTCTAGACTTGTACAGGTTAAGATTGTAGTGATCAGGGAAACATTGTCTTGTGAGTCGATTCCACAGAGCAGTGGTTTGCAAGAAACTGCTGCTTGAGTGGAATTACTTCTCACTAATGATCAGATGAGAGATCAGCTGCCAATCTGGTCACCACGAGTTTTAGAGGTGCACTCATATACCGCTGTATTGTCAGTATTTATATTCACAAATGATTGGGGTACACTCTTAGGAAGATCCTTTATGTAAAGTAAAAAAAAAAAACCTGTTGGTCCAAGCTAGAGAGTTTGAGCAGAAGTCCTTTGTACCACACTTGTCAAAAGCCTTTGAAATATCTAATGCTTATGGCCCTTGGGGTGTATTTATTGTCTAGTGCCTCACTAATTCTGTGAATAATAGTGTTTAGGACATCAGCAGGGTATTGAAACGATCAAAACCTGTACTGCTTGTCATTCAAGAGGCTATTCTTATCTAAGTACTCATCCACCTACTTGTTAATTATAACCTCAAAAATGACTTAAAGGCTAAAACTGATTATAGCCTTGCTAATTACAATGGGGAGACTGATGGTCTATACTGAGAGGGGGATGAACACTTGCCTGTGATCTTGAAAACCGGGTATATACTTGACACTTTCCACATTCCTCCTTCAAGTTAAAATATTAATGTTCATTCATATCATCTAAGAATAACTGAAACATATTGTTCTTTTTTATAAAGAAATTAAAAATAAATAAAATAAAATAGTAAATTAAATGATTCATTGGTCTTGAGAGTATAACTCAGTTGAAGTAAATCAAATTATAGTGTCTGAATTTCAGAGATGAGGAGTTATTAATATTTACATGTGTCCTCATTTTTGTTGTTGTTATTACAATGTTTCAACTGTTGTGCCCTCCAGCCTTCACCAGGATTGACATATACCTGATGAAGGCTGAAGGACATAACGGCTGAAACACTGTGATGATAATAACAACAAAGAGGATGACAATAGTCTACATGTAAATAATGCAAATATCAGATTATAGGTTGTGTATTTCATAATACAACAAAAACAAGCTCAATAGAAATCATTTACCTAAATTACTCTCTAATTAGGAAGATGATCTATTCAATAGTAAATCACAATGTTATATTTGTCTTAAAGAGAATTTCTTTTTAAAAAAATCCTAGATATAGTAATATCATAAAATGTTCTCTAAACATCTCTTTATTAGCATCTATAAAAATTATTATTAAAGTTTAACATTCTGATTTAAGAAAGTAGTATAATTAAAGACTTAATTTTTCCAAATAATGTTAAATTCTATTTGGTTAACAATCTTTATGGTAGATTTATGGTTATAAAAGATAAAAAAGAAATTTGATCATTGCTTAAAATTTACACATTTTATATAGACAGACTAACAAAAAGACATCACATTTTAATTAACATCATATGTAAAAAATGAAATATTTTTCTTGTATTTTGTTACATTTAAACTGAAAAGAAAATTTAATCCTAATCCTTACTGTGGCATTTTAAAATAAAATGTACATAAATATTTCATATCAAGAGCACAAGCAAGATAACACGAGTTATCCCCCTTAGATAATATAAGTACAGCGTGCAGCAGAAATACACTGCTGGCAAAAATCTTAGGACTAATGAAAATAAAGAAAAAATATACTTTTTGCATTTTTAGACTCATCCTCTTATTTGAGTAGAGCTTTAAAAAATGAAAATAAGATAATGAAAAATAAAAATTAAAAACTTTTTTAGCATTTAATAGGGAAAATTTGAATACTGGAAAATTAGGCCAAATACTAGCTGGTCAAAAGTTTAAAACCATATTTAAACAAAGCTTTAATTGGTAAACACAACAAAATTTAGTCATTTGTTTTTAAGTATTATTGCAGTCAACTTCTCTCCCTGGTATCTCCTGTATTAAATTAGGTAAAAACATGGCAAAGGCTAAAAAGGTGGCAGAAATGTAGAGCTGCAAACGCAATGTCTGTCTCAACATACTATTGCTGGTGAGATTGGATATAGTAAAACTAATGTTGCAAATTTCTTAAAAGACCCTACAGAATGAGAATTTCAAGTGGTCGGTCATAGAAAATTTTGTTGTCATTGAGCAGGAGGATTCAACGTGTTGTCTGGCAAGACACAAGCCAATCATCAAACCAGATTAAGGCCCTTATAGGCACATAATGCAACTCAAGAACAATAAGAAGGTACCTCCAAGAGAAAGCCTTTAAATATTTTCAAAGTCTGTGCCTCCTTCCACACCACAAAACAGCTCAGTTAAACTTTGCTGATAAGCACCAAACATGGGACATAGAAAAGTGGAAGGTTTTGTTCTCTGATGAGAAAAAATTTAACCTGGATGGTCCAGATAGCTTTCAACATGGCACAATAAGGATATCACACTGCAGACATTTTCTATACGACATAGTGGTGGAAGTTCCATCTCTGGAGTGCTATCTCCTTCCAAGGAGCAATGGAACTTCAGGTTATGGAACAGTGGCTGGTTACATTGGCATGTTGGAGAGAGCATCTTTATTAACTGAATGTGTGGACATGACTGGATCTTTCAGCAGAACACTGCAATCCATAACATCCACAAAATGAAGGACTTTTCATGGTGAATAACAAGATTCTTTTGGACCATCCAGCATGTTTGTCTGACCTGAACCCTATTGAAAATATTTGGGGGCAGATGGCAAGTGAAGTCTATAAAAATGTATGTCAATTCCAAACAGTGCATGATCTTCATGAAGCCATCTTCACCATTTGGAATAATATTACAGCTAGCCTTCTGCAGAAGCCAAAATAAATTTTTGAAGTTATTCACAATGACAGCTGCAGATGCCAAAATAAATTTTTGAAGTTATTCACAATGACAGCTGAGATGTCTTGTTGGGCATTTCCTACTCTGTTTATGTTATGATGTTAATTTGGGGTTAATAAAGACAAACGCCAAATAACATGTAACAATAAAATGGGGTTTATTCAGTTGGTAAGTTGGTACAGATATCGCCCGAGTAGTCTATAACTAACTCAGCTCAGAACTTCTTCTACACTGTCTTTTGACATGCCACTATTTAACGTCCTTGTTTGTAGACGAGTTCATCTTCAAGAGGGGTGGTAGGTTCCTACACAACAGTTTAAAACTTCTTTTAGGTAAGGTTTTAAACTGTTGACCAGCTAGCATTTAGCCTAATTTCCCAGTATTCAAATTTTCCCTATTAAATGCTAGAAAAGTTTTTAATTTTTTATTTTTTCTTTTCTTTGTTTCATTTCTTGAATCTCTACTCAGATAAGTGTTTCAATCAAAAGTCAATGCAAAAGGCACATTTTTTTTTTCTTTATTTTCATTGGTCTTAAGATTTTTGCCATCAGCATGCTGCCCACACAATGGTAAGACCTTAGCTTGATGAAGACACCAATGCCACTAATGTCTTAGGTAGGATGTATTTCTGTGGCGCCCAGTACAATTACTGGATGTTTTATTTTAAGCAACAGCAATTTATTTACATTATAATTCAATTCAGTAGAGAAAAGTGATTGTAAATATGTTAAGAAATGAATTGAGTTAGTGGTGTTCCTTTAAGATATTTATTTAATTTCAATGATATATTAATGATAATATCTACACTCTTTATTTTTATCTGTGAATTTTCTTATGATATAAATTATTAATATATTCTAAATAAGCATGTAAATTGGTAAAGTTTAAAATTTGTTACAATTTAATGGGGACATATGTACATCAGTAAAAACATTATTTCAACTAGATATCTTCAAAACTAATTTTCCAGGCTTCAGTAGATGTCTCATCAGACAAAACAAAGAAAATATGGAAACCAAAAACAAAAACATCTAAACTTTTATTTCATTAATAGAGACAGTTAATGAAATAATAGTTTAGATATTGTTTCTCTTTTGGTTTCCATATTTTCTATTGTTTTGTCTGTTCAAGCAGTAGAAAAAAAAACAATTTGTTTTTTCTTTCATTAACCCCTCAACACATCTATATAGTCAAAATACTAACTTATTTATAATATTCTTGTAGCCAAAAACTGATTATAATAAGATTCATTATCACTGAAAAGAATGTAAATCATTTGAATTTAAAAAGACTGATGCATAAAACTTTTAGTAAATGATTTCAAGTTAGTCTCACATAATTAATAGACACTAATAATATTAAAGTAAGAAATTGAATAATATTCCAGATTCTGGATTAGTTATGTTTCTAACAAGTTAAACTTTACGTTTGTAGCATATTTTTAGTTGTGTGAAATTTGTTTTAGTTTTTTCATTTATGCATCACATCAAATGTAATGTCATAATTTCAAACAAATGCCAAGTGAATTTTTTTTTTTTACTTTACTAATATAAATCAATAGACTAAATCATTAGTGCTGCACAAGTAAAGAGAATATAAGGCATAGAGTCTTGTCCCTAAACCTTGGTAATTCTGTCAGTAGTTCTAAATGGTTGTGATGAGGTTGGATAGTAATTTGTGCAGACTGTGTAGAGCCCCAAGGAGGTTTAGCAGCAATTGAAGAAAATAAATGTAGAAAGGCCAAGTTTTATGTTATAGAACCAGAGGAAAAACACAAGAGAAATCTTAACTTTGATTATTGGAGTTAAATAAGAAAATAGAACGAATTAAGAAAGTTAGGTTTGAAAAACTAAATAGGCTGAGGGATTTTTAAGAAATCAAATCTATTAACTTTAGTATAACTAAATACTTAGCACCCTGCAGCCACTCACTACGCTTGTCAAGTTGAGCGAAAAAAATGATGTGAAATAATATATTTACTTCCTTGGTTAAAATCAAAGATAATTCTAAATCCAATAAGAATAAGTTGTATCTATGAAGAACTATCAAAAAAGAAATAGATCTCATCCATCGTCAATGAAATCTATACAGAGTTTGTTTACATAAAAACTTATAATCTGTCAACTGTCGTATTACATTTGGTTGCCAGGTTCATCCCAGCCATAATGTTACAAACTGATTTCTCTTCATTTTTCATCACAGTGACATCACCCAGTCAAGATGATAATTGCAAAAATAACATCTATAATTTCAAACCTTTAAAAGTAAAGGGGTCACAATGGTGAGTCATGTTTTGTTCTATTAACAGTAAAAGTAAATAGTCTCTAAATAAGTTATTAAATCATTTAGAATAAATGTTTGAAAGTAAACAAGATCAAAACAGTTGTCCTAATGAATTAGTTCCAACTGGTTTCTTGTTTTTCAAAAATAGGTGTCATCTTTCTTCATGCATGACTTCAAAATTTACAAAATCTCAACAAAATCATCTCACCTTTTTCTTTAATGCTTTTCTTGTCTTCAGCTGAACTCGCTTCCTGTTGCAACACTTCTGCATTTTTAAGAATATCTTCCAATTCCTGTTGCCTGTTTTCCATGTTTTGCAAAATATTCTTGAAAAAAAAAAAAAAGTGTGATTACCATACAATATGTGCTTTGGAATGTTATAATGATTATTTTGAAAGACAATTATAGAATTTCAATAAATTGAACTGATAGCTGAAAATGAGAGGTATTCTCAGTCAAGAATGATAATTATGATGTATGAAATTATCATTTCAAACCTAATCACTGAAAAACTTGTAAAAGCTATAATTGTTAGATTTGGAACAAAATATTTTTCTGTACTTCTATGAATGTAAGTTGTGGAGATTTCACAATTATTAAACTAGCTATGAGAGGGAAAGAAATCTTGTTATGGTATGAATTCTGAATTTTTCTGTTACTGAATATATTAAAATGAATCAAGATGAAAAGCTATTTTTGTCATTTCCCATTTATCATTAAAAGGCAAGGTTTACTTTACAAGAATATAGCTCATTATAATATTTGATAAAATGAAAATACAGAGTATTTTTTTAGAAATGTTCTTAAATATTATCTACTAAAATAAAAAATCAGATAAGATTCAATTTGTGAATGATGATTTACAGTCAAATACAAAAACTGAAATATTAAAATGGCTTTTCTTTCTGTTAATGTTATTAACAGATTATATTCACTCATAAACATAATACATTTCTTATTGGATAAAATTATTTTTTAACGAACTATTTTTTCTTTGATTAAAGTTAACTTGGTATAAAGTTTTACATGTGAAATTTTTATCAATAGAAAAGTTCTATTTAAACCTAAAACTGTCAAAATCTACACAAATAATTGAAATTTCTTTTCTTGGCATCTTAGTAAACATGTTCTATTTAATCTCCAATGATTTAGACAAGTTATAATGTATCAATCCCAAATCTTACAAATTTCTTTTGGCTGAAAGAAAGATATTTTATTTTATTTTGAGAAAAATAAGAAAAGCTGTTTTTCTTCATGATACTGAAATAAAAAATTTATTCACTCTTGAAATTCATTTTTATCACTTGAGGGAGGATGATAAATAATATAAAAGAAGAAAATATTTGAATTAAATTTCTATTTAATTTTTGAAGGAAATTTTTATATATGTGAAAAGAAATTTCCTTCTGTCCCTATGTTAATATCAGAGTTTAAAATAAATCTAAATTGAAAGAAAGCAGGAAATGCACATTTGATCAATAAGTTTGGAAAGTCTTAAGCCAATGCAACCCTACTTTTCAGTTTTTCAATGATTAACAAGGAGTAGAAGTTACATATTTTGACTTCAGGAAGTAAAAATCAAATAACCAAGAAAAAGAATTTTGTACAAAACTAGTAATAAAATTTTCTGCTTCAGAAATAATGAGTTACCTTTTTTTCTAAATTCTGCTTTTAAGTGAATGACTTTGGTAAAAGAGTCCATTTACACAATTGGTGAAAATCAACATGATATTTTTTATTATTATCAATTATATAAAAGACATTTTAGTTATATTAAGTACCATAAATTTGTGTCACTTTTCACAAACTATGACTGCTCATATATAGATATGCCTGTCTGCTAGGGTAGCAAACTAATCTTTGTTGCAGATGACTTCTCAGACATATCCATGTATGTTTAACACCCACAGAGAGTGCATAATCTGGTGTGATCAGTAGTTGAATAAGGCCAGTATGTTTAAATCCTCAATTATGATGACTTGTGACGCTGTGCTAGTACAAACATTGACAGCTACCCAATTTCAGTCACAATGAGTGTGCTTTCCCCAATAGTGCTGCATGCTGGAATTATCTCCCCCAGGTTAATATTATCAAGAAATCACCACCCTGACAAATCAACCATGGTGAAATTTGAACCTAGGTTTTATTGGTCAGAATGCTACCATGTGTCCTACACATCACAAACTATTAAACTTCAACATCCGTAATAATACATAGAAAATACAAATGTGAAGTGAATATGAAAAATGGTGATAAAATGCAAATGGACAGATCATGTAATGTAAAATTGAAATACTTTATGCATACTTATCTTCCTTCTTGAATATAATTGTGTTTTTTTCATCTTTGTATTGTTAAATTACAAGTAACAGAAAAATATTAAATATTATAAGCTACTTTAACTTGTACAATGACTGAGTCTAAATAATAAACAGAAAGGAGAAGGAAAAGAAAATGAATAAACTTAAGTGGTAAGGAAACACAATCAGGTGAAGAAGAAAAACATTGATAGTCAAGTGGTGGAAAGCTAAGGGCTAACTTCATGAATAATGGTTGCCTGAATTAATATTAGATCAATGAATGAGATTCTGAAGAAATGAAAGCATAAACAATATGTTTAAAGAATGATGATCATCCCAAGAACTCAGCAGAAATACTTAAGAAGATTACAAGGATTCACTGTTTGCAACAAATATAAAGAAATATTAAGTGAAAAGGAATCTATTTTACAGCAACTATGTATATCCATAGAGAATAATAGACAATAGATTTCAAATATAAAATATTATTTATAGAATGTTCTATAAGGAATATAGACATCATTTCTTCATAAAAACAAAACAAAAGGCTGTGTATACAGAAATATACAGTGTGATGTGTAAATTGTCGCCATTTTATATTTTTTAATTTGGCATGTGTACATTGTTTATTTTTTATTCTGTCAACAGCATTGGTATAGTAGGGTCAGTTGGGCACTGTATGTGAGAAAAGAGCACCATGACACAATTCACTTGGCCATAAATTTATAAATGGCATGCTTTACTGCTTAGTATTTGTACCAGAAACTCTATTACAAATATTTCAGTGTGTTTGGGTGTAAAGCTAAGGACAGTGCAGAAGATTCGGAAAGAGATGAATGAGTCTAATGGTGATTATGAAGGTATGGCAGCTCAGAAAACTCACTCTGATTGTTCTGATAAGAACTTCTGAATTTGTTGATGAGGGCCTCTGACGTAACACTGAGGCTTACATCAAATGTCTTGAGGGGTCATGCTGCCTTGGGCCAAGAGGTTGCCTGCTGGAAGACCCTATGTCTGGCAACAGGATTCTGCACCAAGCCACACAAGCAGGAGAACCCTTCCATGGCTTCCATTTGTCCACCTAACTCCCCAGACTGCAACCCCCATGATTATTATGTGTGGGGGGCAGTTGAGCAAGATACCAACAAAACTCCTTGTAACACCAAAGACGAACTAAAGGCAAGGATTACGACAACCTACACCAACTTAAACAAAGAGTCCATCCAGAAGAGTTGCAGGAAATTCCAAAGTCATCTGGAGGCCATAGATTTTCAGTTTTCAGAATTTAGGACAAGAGATTGTCGTATCTAACATTACTATCCAATTAGAAACACAATAAATCTATGACACTGATTTAAATAGACAAAACAAAATAGTGATAACTCAAAGAATATAGCAAAGTTGACAGTAACAAATGAATTGCAACAATTTGAGAAATAACAAAACAATAATCAGATTTATTTACAAGAATTCTTTGTTTTAAACAAACACTTCATGTGAAAGGATTAAACAAAATTTGTTTTGAATCTACTTTGAATAGCACACTTGTTATTTTTAATAGAATCACAAATATTTTGTTTAAGTGGAATTGTTGCAAAAACAATTGAGAGCAAATAGTTCTAAAAAATATGCTTTCAGTTATTGATAACCAGAAAACTACAATGCATACAGAGATTTTGCTTTTATTCAGTCACCACTACCATCAATATGACCCCCCAGTTTCCTTTCAGAAATATGAATATACAAAAATATAAAGATACAAGATATTTTAATTAACAGATTTTATCTATTATATTCTAGCATCTGAATATAACTCTAAAACAGTCATTCTGGATGAAGGATTGTTATTTAAAACAAACAAAAACATTGAGAAGAATAGAAAAAGAATTTCTGTCTGAATTTCTAAGATGAGGAATTATTATTCATGAAACACAATAATAACAAAGATAAAGATATTAGTTTGAATATGAATAATAGAAAAGGTAATCTAATGATAGTGAATAAAATATTGCAATACAGAAAAAAGTGACCAACGGCAAAGCCCAACAAAATTCCTTGTAACACAAAAGATGGTTCATGCCAAGAAACTTTGTATATTTGAAATTCTGAGACAAGATTGATTTTGGATGGCAACATGAAAATGAGTTTATTAAAGGCAGAGGTTAATTTTTTTTTCTTCAAACAGAACTGATCAACTGTAAAAGGATCAGGATGATTTGTGTTTATCTTTTATTATTCAAAGTAAACATGTTTTGTATTAAAATTATTTAATAATAGTAAAAAATATAATTGTGCAATATGAATTCTGTTAAAATATGATGACTACTTACCTTTTGTTTAACAATCAACTGTTCAATATCAGAAATATTCCCAACTGAAGCTTTATTTGCTTTTTGTAAATGATCTTGGACTGCCAGCCATCCAAGAATATCAGCCACTGATTTATCGTAATTTGACCAGTGAGTTGAAACAGGCGGGGACTGAAGCTGTCCCTGCTGTTGCATCTCATGAGCCACTTTAACTAAAAAAAAAAAAAAAAAAAAAAAAATTAGAACAGAAGCAAATCTATTTGTAACAAATAAAACCAGAATCAATTATTTAATCAATCCAAAAATTATAAAAACAAGCTGGAAAAACTTTTATAAATGTATCATAAAACTTATGACCATTTAATCAAAAGGATTGTTAATCTTCTTGTCATGTTGATGTCTTCTGTAGATTTAAACTTGTGCATCTGTACAAATAATCATTTATTTTTGTAAATATGACTTGAAAAATGAAATAACATAGAATCTGTAGAATATAAGTATTAAGCTAATGCAAAAATTTCCAGCATGTTTTTTTGATAAACTCTTTTATTCATGGAAATTCATAGCATCATTATTCTGTCATCAAAATATTTTCCTTGCTTATGTTGCCTTTCAGGTAATTGTGTATAATTAAAAAATAATTCCAGTTTTGAATTTTTTGATATCTCCAACTTGTTGGAACCACTGAGAAGTCAACAAGTGTTGCATCATGGGAAACAAATGATAGTTTAAAAATGACAGGATCAGCATAATATACTGCATGGAGAGGCAGGGAGATTCCTATCTCAGTGCCATTGACATTTGCTATATTTTATTGGCAATGGTTGATTTCCTTGTCCATAAAAAGGATTTTTTCTTTTTTCTAATGCATCATCTAATCAAAAATAATAAAAGTTTTTGCAATTCAAATAAAGAATTTCTTTTGGATCCTACCAAATATAAAGAGTAATTTTTCTCCCCAGTAGATTCTGTTTGGATTGAAATGTTTAAATATGCTCTAAATCTAGCCATGTAAACTTCATTTTGAATTTCCAGTTGCTACTGAGTATCTTGTTCAAAAATGAACTTTTTTCTGTGTCAAGCAAAGAGAGAAATTGTTCAAATGTTTGCTGATGTTCCTTTCTATAAATGTGAAGCACTCATTTTCCTACCTTCTGAATTTTCCTAAGGCTTGTAAACAATATTCAAGTGCTGAATGATTGTACAAATAAACAAATAAAAAACTGACTAGACTTGAAAGGCACTTCTAAGAATTCCCCAACATTAAAAGATAATGTGGGAAATTTATGCATTAACCTGATACTTGATAAAGGAGAAAGGTATTTGTTTTTTCTTTGCATGTTTGATCTTTTAGAAAAGTGCATAGAATGAACTGAGATAAGGAAAATAGAAATAAAAATTTAAAAAAAAGAAAAAGAAAAAAGTAATCTTTTAAATTGATAAAATTGGTTCACAGGTTATGAAATATCTGTGTGTGTGTGCATACACATACAAATATACAAAAGCAGTAGAATCCTATTAAAGTTAGAAATGAATACTTTTAATTGATCCTAATATGAATAACAAATATCCACTAAACTCACATGATTACTAATCAGTAATATAAAGAGATTTCTTTATCTTTAGGGAGATGTTTTATGCTTATTTATTAAGCTTGGTTTAATTTGACATTAGAGTGTCCAGTGACTCCTTACACTAGTAAATAGTCAATGTGACTAATTTGTTAATTATCACCAGGGCTGGTGCAAGAATCTCATGCCCCTCCCACTAAATCTATGATACGCACCCCCCCACTCTACTACATCTCAATTTTCATAAGGTAGTATTCATATAAAATACAAATTTTATTGTAACCTAATTATGTACAATAATGGATCATATCCAATACAGGTGAACAATTCTACTAGAAAAATTGAAAATAAATACAATGTATGTAAATACAAATTAGAGACATGTCATAATAGATCATTCAATCTTAAATCAACAATGTTTTGTGGCAAATTTTAAAATCAAATTGAAATTTTTCTTGTTAAAATGCTGAATAATTTTAACACATTCAACATTATGGATAAAAAAAATAGTGAATTTTATTTAGTGATTTTTTGAGACTTAGCATGAGCAAAACAAATTTATGAATTTGGACAAAAAAAGAAAGGCCCCAGAATGATGCCAAAATCTGTAAAGAGTTTTTATCCTTTAATAGTCAGTTTAATTTGTAACATATATAAATTATATATGTAAAAAAAAAAAGCAAATATTGATAAGATAGCAAGAGTCAAAAAGCACTGCCCAGGGCCCCCAATTAATCTCCCCATCATTACTTTCTAAGAGGTACACTTAGAGATGTGTTTAAACATGTTTTGCACCCACAGAAAATCAGGTTAATTTTCTTTTTAACTCTTTATAAAAAGAGTGTTATCAAATCAAATTGTAAAGACTCGGTTAGCAAGGACTTTCATTACTGATGCATTAATAAAACTCAAGCAAGTACAGAAATTTAAATATCTAGGACTAACAGATTTCTAACAGATGACAAAAAAATGTGATACCATATACAAAGGTGCATTGAAATAGTGAAAGATAAACAAAATATCAAGAAACAGGAAAATTTCATGAGAAACATAGTTGAACTTTTATATAATATCAATCCACCAATATGAGAGTGAATGCTGGACAATTTCCTCACAAAATGAAGAGAACTCTTCAGATAACAGAGATGTGGTTGTACAAAAGGATATTGAGAATACCATGTGAGAAATGAGGAAGCAAAATGGAAACAAATGGTCATTTGTATAGACAGACACATTTGGAATTTCTAGGATGCATAATGAGGAAAGAAAGCTTGGAGAATTTAACACTCACAGGACATATTGAAGGTCCAAGGAGCAGAGGGAACAGTAAGTAACCTATCAATCTTGTGTAAATGGATGGCAAGACAGGTAATTGGAGGGATAATAAAAAGAAAAATACTGCTAAGAGCTACAAGGAAAGGAAGTTGTAGATGGACTTGATCCCCGACATCTTGGAGAGACATAGCACATATAAGAAGAATCAAACTCAAAATACACAGAACATTTTTAACATCATTTCGAAGTATAATCTTCTCATTTTACTTTTGTCTCTTTTCTCAACTTGATTCATTTTAATAGATAGGCTATTTTTTAAAATCAATCCTACACATCTATGTATACATGCACTTAATGCTATAGATTTGTGAGAATGAACAAAAATGTTTATCTTCTGCCACTTATAGTTTTATGGACATGACAAAGGACATTTTTGCCTGTATTATCAAAGATGAATCTTTACAGACGACAAATTAATAAAATAAAATATTTGATAAAACAAAACTTCTAATTGCAAAAAGAGATAATCAATATAGAGATTTAAGTGGCACAAGCTCAAAAGCATGTGAAATAACATGATTAAAAATCAATCAATTAGTATTATAGAGAAGAAATACATAGAAATGCAGAGTGCACTACAAATTCTTTTACAGACCATAAAGAGAACCATCATTGATTATGGAAAAGTAAAATCATTTAAAAATTAATTAAATGACAAACAAAAAATATAATCACCCTGAATTTGCCAATCTCATTACATTTAGATGAATGAGCTTAAACTAAAGATAGTTTCTGTATTAAGCTTTTAAAACTAAAATGAAAATAAAATATACAAAAAAAATAGAGAATAGGGAACTGAATTTGAAATTTAACATAAGTTAATCCAGAAATGCATGCTATCATTTTTCTAAATAAACCAATCAGAATAAAAGCAAATAGTTTCTGAAACAAATAGAAATCAAGTTCATGCTTTAATTTGAAGACAACAAAGAGTTTTGTAAGAATAATGGTTATTATAATAAATATAACTTCATTTTTCTGATTTTGATATAAAAACTATCATATTTATATTTCTATAATATTTTCTAACCATTCTTTCTAGAGTATTTTAAATGGGAAGGCATTTAAGATTGCTCTTTTTCATTCTATTTCATTTAACTGAGCTTAGTGTGACACTCAGTGAGAATCAATCTCACTACAGTAGAAATATTTGTGGACACTTGCTTGCTAAACATTGCTCTATAGTAAAACATTCATTTAACTCAAACTTCAAAATTTACTAAGTATTTTTTTAAACTTTTTTCTAAATAAAAGAAAGGCAGACATTAAAATGTTATTTTTTATTTATTTTTTTTTACACAGATTCATTTTAAAAGCAAGCCAATATCAAAGTAAAAGTGTGAGATACTTGAAAAGCAAACAATGTTATCTAATTTAAAACCTTATATAATCCTGAATATTTAATACAGAGTTTATATAATTACGTCTATATTACAGGATTTGGGGATTATAGTATTAAACAAAATAAGCCTCAATTAAAACTAAGAAACTGGTTCACTTTTAGAATATAAAGCAAATATACAGGAACTTTAGTGTGTTGATTAAGTTTGTAATAAGAAAATTAATTAGAAGAAAATAATTAGTTGAGACACTAACATTAGAAATAGAATCTCATTCAAAATAACACTTAACTTCTACTTTAATATTTTAAAAATATCTCAAGGTACTTAGCATATATTTGTCAAGTCTCATAATAACCACCAAAGGAAATTTAAATAACCTCAGATATGTGTCTTAAATTATTAAAAATATTATCATAATTAAATTATTACATTTTGAATTATTTTTGCATTGTAAATAAACAATCAATCTACTTAACCAAAACAATATGTGTTCGTTTTGAATAGCAATTATTTTTATAATAAAGCTGTTACTATTTTTGTTTTAAAATCTGAATGTGACTTATGCAATATCAAGCACAGATCTTATTAATTTTGTGTAGAAAAATCTGATTGAATTGTATATGCTCTATTTGTGATTTATATCATCTAAAACATAATATAAATTTATCCTAGTTAATAACATATTTGGAAACTCATCTTTATGATGAGATATATGAGAAAATGCTTTACAAAAAGTGATATTACAACAGAATAGTTTAAATCTGAACATTTCCAGAAATTAGACATTTTAATGTTTTTTTAATGATTTTCTAAATGCCAGTACTAAGGAGAGATAAATAAAAAGTAAGTGTATGATACCTTTTTTTAGAACTTCCATGGTTGAATCTGTTGCTGGTTTCATACTGGAAGCCATAATCTGGATGTGTTCCCAATCATTGTTCAGTTGAACAACTCTACCTTGAATAGTGTCAGTCATACTGATGCTTTGCTTGTGGTTTTCTTTAACCATATGGCCATACTTTTGGTTGATGCTGTCTATCTTGGGCTGTCGAGTACTCAGAGCTTTTTGCATAGTCTGAACAAAAAGGTGTAAGAAACAGTGATCAATACATTAATTGATTCCATGTAATAAATAACAATCAGTTATTACAGGAAAAAAGGAGAAAGAAAAAAGCAAATTGCAAACAGTAGATTTATGGATGGATTTTTACATCTTCTAATTGTTAAATGTGTCAAATGAACAAAAAAACATAGTTGACCAGTTTCGTTGATTTAATTAAAGATTAAAATTTTCTATTAATATTTGTTTATTAGTTGAAGGAAAAGTTTTCTCAAGCCCTTAGAGAAAGAAGCTTTTACAAGATGTAACAAGAAGAAAACTGGCTGATATCAATAAAAAATAAATTTTATTTAAAACATAATAACTATCTCATAACTATAATATCCAAGCTGCTGGATAAATTTAAGGAATTTGACATCTATTAAAATAAGATTAGATACTTACTTAAGGTATAATCACAAATTTGAAAACAAATTATTTAGCAATAACAAATGTGGTTTACAATCTGATGAAGCTTATCTCTTTCTATAGCAAATATTAGTTGTTTATCAAGGCTACCCAAACTAAAGGCCTACCAACCATGTAGTATTGGAGACAAGTAAATTACTACTAACCTTAAATTACTATTAACCTTAAATAACTACTAATCTACAATTTCTGAAAAAAGTTTTAGCAAGAGATTTGTTAGTAATATCTAATAATCCTGCCTAATATTAACAATAAATTATTATTTTTTATTAATCAGAAAGTGGGGCAAAGGCTACATATATAAATCAATGAGAAAATTATTTCAACTTTTATAAAAAATACTCATCAACAAAGCATAAAAATAATAATGCAACTCAGAGAAACAATAATTTTGAAAGTTTTGTTCCATGATTTTTTTTTCATTTATTTTATAGACTATGAAGAAAATGCTCATGTTACCATGCTAAAATCATAAGAGAACTTTAAAACTTTTAGTGCTTGTACTTTGGTTGCTTTAGGAGACTGAAACAAACAATATTTTTTTAAAAAGATGTTTGAATGCTCTCTTTTCTTTTTGAAATGAAGCATTTTAGAAACTAACATGAAAATTTATGCACATCTTTAATAATGTTAAACATCATAAAATGGAACATCCCAGCATTGAATTGTGGTATCCATTGGAATTTTTAAATCCCCATGATCTGTTTCCTTTAAAAAAAATCTTCATACTCTTGACAATAAAAAGATCATTAAATATCTTGTGCTCCATGGGACTGTTTATGTAACATTGCCTACTACATAAAAAATGACATTTTAATGTCTGTAATGGCTAGAAAATTGGTTGTTTGAGGCTCTTAAGACAACTTAAGACCCAACAATAAAAGATTTTGAAGTTGTCTTAAAATTTTAACATGGTAACACAACTATTTACTTCATATTCCATAAAATAAAGGCAAATAACGTGTGAAAACTGAATTTATAAATATAAGGAATCATGGAATAAAACTTTCAAATATCAAAATTTTTGTTTTTTAAGTCTATTATTTTTTCTTATTTCTAAAATATTTTCATGCTTCACTGATGAATATTTTTGTAAAAGCTAAAATCATTTACTGATTGATTTGTACAGGTACATTTTCTTAGCTTTCTGCTCAATAAGAAATAATTGATTGCTAATATTAGGTAGAGTTGCTTATTAGCTAATTATTAGATATCACCAACAAGTTCCTTGCTGAAAATTTTTTCAATAATTGGTGGTTAACAGTAATTTAAGACTAAAATATTCACCTCCAATCAGAGGCACACTCTACATGGTTGCTCAGCCTCTACTTGGGATAATGTTGCCGTTTATGTAATGCATATTATAGGTAAGCTTTATTAAATGATATCAAAACTTACATGCATTGTAATGCTTACATCAAATTCTAGAGGTTGTGGTAGAGTCATAAAACAATCATAAAAATTTATAACAAACTACATTTAAATGTGGCTTATACATAGGCAAAATGTTACCTTTTCTAATCACTGCCAACTAATACTACAACTAAGCTATTACTCACCTTCTTAGTTTTAGTCATTTTCTGCACTAACAAATAATATGCTTCTGATGGTAAGGACAAAAAACTGATGGCTAAGAACTGAGCTGAAACTTGTTTTAGGAAGTTACTAAGTTAAGTTACTAATACTAAAGTTGAAAAATCAAGAAGAAAAGGAAAGTCAATAGGCATGTATTAATGCAAGTATTACTGACGGAATAGAGTTTATTATACAAATGTTAGTCAAAAAGTAATGCCTGTTCTAATTTAATTTTAAAGTATTAGTCGGAATTCTCTCTCTTTTTTTAACTTATAAACCATAAAGTGTTGAAAAGTCCTGGGAAAAAGCTTGCAGAGTTACCTTCATTTCATATTCATAATAATCTTTCAAAATGGCTACCCCCGCTGGATGCATGAAGAAAGCAAAGAGCTATAATAGAATTTTTGTTTTTGGAAAGAGAAAGTGATGCAAACATTCACATGAAGAGATTAGTGAATATTTATGAAATGTCAGCACTTGATGTAAGTGCAGTAAGGCGATGGGTTCAGTAGAATTAATGGTAATCGTAGAAACAAAACAGAAATTGACCAGCTTATGAATTGACAGAATTATGATTCCAAAATTCCTTGAAAGCCTTTAGTATTGCTTTCACTCTCTTTCCTATTCAAAGGTATACACAAAATGGGTTACCAGAGTGATGCTGACAGATTCCATGAAAGAACAAAGGGTGTTTCTGCCTAAGAACTTCTGAATCTGCATAATAAGGATGGCACTTTCTTAAGCAGAACAATCATAGAAGATGTAACTTTGAGTCACTATTATGAATCAGAGAAGATCAATGGTGTGGCGCTACCCAGATACAGCAAGAAAAAAAATGAAATTTAAGTCAGTATACTCTAATGGAAAGTGATGACCATTCTATTTTAGGAAGAGAAGTAAGTCAGAGTTTACACCAAATGGTATCATTATCAATTTGACTCCTATGAAAACACATTGTCAAAATTCAAAGCAAGGCTTCTTTCAGCTAGAGCACATTTGAAGATGAATCATGTGCTTTTGCAACATGACAATACAAAGTTTTCACAGTAACTCAAATATTACAGCTCATCAACTGTTGAAGACTAGATTTGGAATCCTGAGATTTCTGTGTTCTTTTTGCTGTTATATTCTGTTTTATTTGAATATTACTTCATGCATGCAATAAAGCCACTAAGACACAAGGGGTTGCTGATTGTGAAATAAGAAAAAACGGGAAATATTACTGACGAGTAAGAACAATAGAAGTGCAATCAAGAAGACAGTAGACATTGCATTTAAATTTTTGAAGATCAAATTTGGCTGGAAAGCATGGAGCCAGAACAGATTTCCACAAGCGAGAAGTGTGAGAAAAAACAGCATAGACCTTACCATTACATCTAGCAAATTCAACTGTGAATTGATGAGACCAATCTAGTACTGTGCTTAAATTCATAAATTCTAGGTACTGCTAATTTTATTGTAATTAAAGAACAGGTATTTTTGACTGGTTTTCATATCAAAGATCATTGATCATTAAAAACGTATTTTTGTTGTTGTGAATATCAAAAAAATCATTATACAATCTATAGCTTATATAATTCTTATGTAAAAAAAATAGAATATAACTGATATTAAATATTCATCCATTTTAATATTTTTATTGTGAAAATTAAAATGTCCCAATTGTAAATATATCCCTTTTTAGCCTTCATTTGACAAGAAACATATTCTAACCTTCCTAATATTTCAAGTTTATTTCTTTCTTCTTATAACACTGTCCAATATGTTAAAAAAAATTAAATACAAGACATTCTTACAAATATTTCTTGAATAATACTGACACATAAAAAATGATATAAATGATCCGGCACTTACATGGGCATCAAGGACGAGAGAATCATGATCATTGGCTGAAGGAATGGAAGAAATTGGGCCTTGTGTTTCCAAGACTGATTTTGTTGTGCTCAACCATTGCTGAAGTTCATCAAGTTCATCCAAAAATTGTCGTAATGAGCAAAGTTTATCTTCAATAAATTTCACATGTTCAGGAATTTTGGTTTCCAACTGGAAAGAAAAAGTTCCAATTGATGGAAATAATTCATAATAAGTTAACAATATAGGCATTTCTAAAATGTAGATATAATCAAGCTTTAATGTTTGGAAAAAAAAGAATTATTCTCTAGTTTGAAATCATACACTTCATTCTGAACAATATAAATAACTTAACATTTAAGATTTTAGTCAAACTTGCTACTGCTAAAAATAAAAAAGGAATATAAATAGCAACTTTCATAAAGAAAAGAAGAAAAATTAAACCGATGGAAAATTATATTCATTTATACATCAGACAAACATGACAGACATTTTTAAGAAACATTATGCAATTAGAAAGTAAAGCTTTATAGAAATTATTCACATTAATTTTTAAAGCTATACATATTATATAAATCTTCATCTATTATTTACTTTTTGCATCAATTTTTCCTATAAAAATTAGATTTTACAAGTTGATAAAATTATTGTCTAGATGCAATCCTATTACTTAAAAAAAGGGGTTTTTTTTGACAGTTTCAGTTGAAAAAAAATCTGGTTAACTAAAATAATTAGGATTCAAATGTTTTTGTAAAAATTATTTAAATCTCACCACCAGACAAATTTCTTATTTCATTAATTTTTTATTTGCACTGAGAAAACAGTACATAAATATATATTTTATGGACTGAAATTACAAAAAGTAATAATGGTAATTTTAACACAGGCCTTTACAAGATAAATAAGCATAATTACCTTTTTCCACCGACTGTTTAAGTTATCAAGATCTTTACTCATGTTTTCTTTGTCCTGGTTAGACAAAGTTTCTTGCATTATCATCTGTTGTGCATTACGATTGAGGGCTTTCAACCTCTGTTGTAGAGTGGAAAGCTCATCTTCTCTCTCCTGACAGAATAAATGAGCTATACTGTTAACTTGCTCTATCAAAGATTATAAGTAAGTCATGCATTTTATTAAAAAAAAAATCATATTTACAAAAAACTAAACCATCAAAAGAAAAAAGAGAATTTTTAATCAACAATTTGAAATTAACAATAACAAAAAGAAAGAAACCTAAAATGATGACAAGGTTTTTGGAAAGATACTAAATCATATGCCAAAATGAAAAACACTTGCATATCATGTTGTCTTTTACGAACAGTTTTGTCTGTTAATTCATATTCAAGTAAAATCTTGATTTAGAGATTTTAAGGTTGTCAAGGTGTATACTGATCATGAGGTTAAAAATGTCATGCAAGAGATAGAAGCAGCAAGTAAACATATTTGTAGATGGCATTCCTCTTTGAGTAAAGGCTAGAAAGAAGTGAAAATCTATAAATTTGAAATTTCCACAAAGAACTAAAAGAAAATCATAAAAAATGAAGCTGTCAACATTATGTTTTCCAAAGAGATCAAATAAAGAACATAAAATCATTTTTCTCCATTAAAATAGCAATTCTATTAAGAAGTAGATATTGCTATGAAAGAGTAAGTTCAGCATCGAATGTCTATATTTTGTCAACAATGGTTGTGGTAAACTTGAAGTACTGTCTCTGTCTTTAAAAAATGCTAATGGAGGTAACACATCGCCACTATTCAATATTGACTTGTGACATTATTTTTAATGATATTGATTATTAGCTTGTCTAGGAAAGAGGAAGATTTGCTGAAAGTTTTAACTGTCCAAATACAATTTGTGATGGCAGATGTTCAATTTAAGATGATGTCACTTCAATGGTGATAACATGAATTTTGTGTGCCAAGTTAAAAAAAAAATTTAAAAAATAATAAAAAAACAGTTACATACAACATTCAAAACTATTTAAAAATCTCAGAAAAAAGTTGCATGCCACTACTAGTGTTACAAATAATAGTAATAATAATAGATGTGAACAAAAATGCAACAGCCATTAGAAGGTTAATTTATTGAGTAACCATAACAAAAAGATTTACCTTTATGATATACTAACTTTTAATTGTATGTAAATATTCACAGTGTGTTTGTGTATGTACACATATAATTCGTAAATACAGTCAGTAACATTTCTGATAATAATTAGAGGAATCAAACAGATAAATTGTAATATTTTGATGTAAACAAAGCTTCAAAATATTATAGACTGTTATTCTTTTTCTCTTTCTTCAATTACAGAATGCCCAAAATAATAATTATCATTTTTCTTCATAAAATTTCTATTATATAAGGATTCTTTTAGGCTAGCAATATCATTTGTTTTGTTTTTTTTTGTTTTTTTTAAATATATAAGCAGCAGTAGCTTCCAGTCTTTCTTAAGTGAGTGTCACATTTGAGAACCCTTAGGGAATTAGGAATGGAAACGAGGAGAGGATATTCCTAGATTTTCTGTTATGTCCAATAACTTTCTTAGGATTTTCCAAACTTGTAGCAGTCAATTTCTCTTCATGAAAATACTCTGTCTCTCCTGTGAGTTGCTTTATTTATTTAATACTATGGCATTTCAATAAATAGAATGAACTTGTCAGCACTTTTATCCACTGTCTCACAAAACACATAAGCACTGGAATTGTGTGAAGTTAAAGTTTGCATTTTTCCTTTTCTAATTAGAAGCCCCTAGATTGTGTTCATTTTATGCAAACTGAATTTTCTGATCATAGTAGGTGTTGTGTTAATTTATTTTCTAATATCATTCTTTACTTTTAACCTTTTTCCATAAGGCTCTGTATATTGTCATTTTCTCTTTATACATTATCAGGTATTGTTGATTTGAGATTCTCTCTATGAAAATTGGCTTTTTGATCTACATAAAGTCTTATTTAGTTATGAAGAAATTAAATCATTATTAAAATAACAATTTTGTATATTACATAAATTTGTTATACACATTTTATGCAATGTCATATTTATTTTACATTGAATATAGAGACCAGGACTAAATAAATTCTAAACTGCAGTCAATTTACATACATCTATCAATGTCACTTGATTAAATTAATAAAGGAAACAAAAATGTTGTCATTTTCAAATTTGGCTCATCATAAAATTTCAATTTCATTCTTGGAAAATGTATGTGTGTAATAAAGAAAATCAAAATAATTAATCAAAGTCTAACAAAATATTTTCAAACAGGAATGTCATCAGTTGTATTCAGTTAATTTCATTAACTCATGTTAATGTTAAACTTTCATGTTTCAAACTGACTCTAGATATATACTTTATTTACTCATTCATTGTCTCTTAATCTCCTATACATAAAGATAAGCATATGAAGCCATTTGGCTCAATAAGTAGTTAAAACAAAGTAAGACAAGCAGTCAATATGGTTGTTGCATCAATAGTTCAACTTAAATCTTCAGTTGCCTTGATGGCTGAATAGAAAAAGTAGAGGGTGATGTTATACCTTCCTTCCATGATAGAAACTGATTATGATTTTCATTCAAAGCTGCTTTATTGTTCTGTATGCAAGCAAATACATATATTCACCAAAGACATATGCATGAGTACATGTGCATAAATATTGATATCATATGTACATACATGCTTATGGACATCTCTCTATATGCACTTATATATAGTCTCTAGGCTCTCCCAATACACACATGTATTCAAACATTCACACTTTATTTCTACAGATATCTAGATATTCATGTATATATGCCATTCCTCTCTGTATATAAAATAAGCATCTATTTAATAATTGCAAAAATACCTAATTCATATTTTAATATATCTGAAATTGTTTGTATTGATAACTGCAGCCAGCCATATCAACACCTTTAACAATATATATATATATATATATATATATATATATATATATATATATATATATATAATTATGGAGAGAGAGAGAGAGAAAGCACTTGCATTCTCTTAATGGCACAAAAGAGCAAACTTGAAGTTTTTAATCCTCACCAGAGCTAGCATTTGTTTTCACTTTTGTAAAGTAAAAAGTTTTGTAGATAAAAAATGGAAAAAGCTTAGGAACTAATCATGTTATGGCAAACTTTAAGAAATTCTATCAATTAAGTAATTTGAAGAAAAGCAAACAAAGTAGCAACCAACAAAGAAGTAATGTGGATCTAAAAATCTAAAATTAAATCAAAAAGTCAAAGAACAAAAGTGGCAAGTGGCAAGTATAAAACAATCAGGTCAAAATCAATCAGGCTGGAGGAGAGCATTAAAGAATTTCTGTTTAAAAGCAATAAATAGAAATGTCTACAATGTCACTTGAAATTCTAAGTGAACTTTCTTTAAGAATTGCCACCTTGATGTAACAGAAGCTTTCTTGTCCATGTGAATCAGAAAATAATGTCATTAAAAGTACATAGATTTGGTAAGAGCATAATCAACAATGAAATCAAAGTTGAAGTTTTAAGGATAAGTGTTTTTTAAGGAGAAAATAGATTTTGATCAATCTGATAAAGTTCTACATAAGCCCTTTGGTAGAGATGACCTTAGTGAAAAATAGTCTTTCTCAAAACTAAAAGCAACTGAACCAAAACTCAAAGGAAAAAAACTAAAGTTGATAAATGATCATAATAAAGTTGATATATGATATTTTCAGGTTCTGTAAATTATATGATTGAAAACAGCACGTGTCACAAATTAGTGTTTTCTTCACAGTATCATATAAAATACAAATTTCTAATAGCCATTATTTTTTATATATTTTTCACTTCTTATAAAGGTTTCATGGGTTTGAACTATGACCTGATCTTAAGGAAACCTTTCTTCAATTCCTCTTTCATACTGTAAGAAAAGAAGAGACAGAAATATCTTGGCTATTGTTGATACATTTACAATCATGTTCTGTGTTTTTCTGAAAAAGATTTGTGCCATCATAAAGGTGAGCTATGCTTATATTAAAAACTCCTGATTGTAAGATTAAAAAGTTAATACAGATAAGCTTTAAAGATTAATACCTTATTATAGTGAATAATTTATATATTATTTAATACACACTGACAAATTTTATTATGAAGGTCAATGTCTTTACAATAAAATTGGTGTTAGCTTCCGATATGATAAAAATTTTAGGATATATTTTTATTTTTTATTTCCCAGTATATTATGGAAATTTCAGCTTATAATATTTATCCTTACTAAAAATACCAATAATAACTTATTTTATGGGTGATTAACACAATATCTATGTACTTGAATAAATTATTATTTTACATATTAATATTAATCCTAGAACCTTTATTAGTTCTTTATTCATTGATTTTGTTAACTTTTCTGCTGTTTCTGCTTTAACATTACTTACAGCAGTTTTTATTGCTTTCTAAAGACCTTCACTAGAATACTATTTTCTATTCTCATGTAAATCTCTTTTAATGATGGTCCACAAGTTTTTTAGATTAGTATCTGAAGAATCAAGGAGCCATTCCATTAATTTGGTTCCTTTGAAACCTCTTTTGGCAAGGTGGGAAATAGTTAGCTTTTCTGAATGTGAAAGAGGGTTGTTTTATATGAATATACTATTTAGCTTAAGTCTTCTTCAGTGTAACATGGAAAATTCAAAACTTGTTTTTTCAAGAATTTACAATAAATGTGTGCATTTGAACCATCATCATCTTTGTAAAGATCTATAATTTTACTGCCTACAATACTAAGATAAAGTATTTCTCTAACTCTCTAATATTGTCTTATAAGTTGTGTTAGTTGACTATTTCAACTTTTAAACAATTTCCAACATTGTGTCTATCACTCAATAAGTTTATAATATCTTGTTTCTCCTTTGAGGTTATATCTTTCTTATGTTCTGCAATAAACTTTACATCTCATATTTTTTTAAATAAATATCAATAACTTGATTACTACATATATTTATTTCCAATATTATGAACATGCTACCAAATAATGTATTATAAATACTTATAATATTCCCACATATTACAAAAGCTAAAATTCACTTAGTATATTT